TGTTGATATAAAATTATGTATATTCTTCCAGTAATAAATAGGTCTCTCTCTCTCTCTCCTGCATGTTAGGGCTGAGTTATTCTCCTGGGAATTTGGCACCTGATTGAATTTTTTCAATTTGAGGCCAAATTCCCAAGCATTAACAACTCTATGTTCAGAAAATTTAAGCTACATCAAAGGCCTTGAAACACAAGTCAAAGTACCTTGAGTTTATGGGAGCTTTAGTGGCTAGTTAAAGTCTCCCCAGAGGCATTTAATGATGGGAAAACAACATTCTCTAACAGGATACAACACAAGGTTTGTCTAAACACAAAGTTGAACCAATTTAATTAAACTGATGCAAACTTGTATATGGACACATTTGAGTATCCACATGGTTGCACAGACTTCAGATAAACTGTTTAAAATAATGTCTTTAACTAAAGGTATTATTTTAAACAGTTTAAAATCTGTGCAGCTGTGTGTTGACCACACCAAAGAGATCTTTGTTCTGACCTTTAAATGTCTCCTTGCTTCAGTCTCACCAGGAATTTTACAGGATATAGTTCCTTTCCACCTCACTGCCAAAAACCTCATTGCTCCAGTGATTACAAGAAACTGAGGCTTGACATAGATGGAAGAGAGAATCCATTTTATAGATTGGATTTTGAATGAGTCTAGTGCCAGATCAAAATCTGTATCACCTCTCAATATTATAAGCTCAGTGCATGAGCTGATGTTTGTTGAGATATACATTGCATCAAGAGTCCCAGGTCTTATCAGCTACATCAGCATCTAATTTTAAATGCTGCTTTGTCACTGAATGTTAATATGGTCTTCCCTCAACTTACAAATCTCCATGAAGGCCCTGTTTATTCACATGTAGTCTCTATTTATGCTCATCTGTTGATCCCCAGTGAAGCAGATCTGCAAATGAAAAGCCTTTGGAACCAGAGAAGGAACTCAGTCTGTTGGGAACATGGCTCTCAAAACTGAAAGAGCAACGGGGTGGGTGCGGGGGAAGGGCAGGAGAGGCATGAAATTACATGCATCAGGAAGAAAGTTGTATAATTTAAAATACATCTCCAGCCAATAAAACATTTCACAGAAGATAGATGTGTAAGTATGTTTTGATGCTGCTGTTCTGTCACTCTTCAGGCTTGGGGTTAAAAGATTTTAATGTTAAGTATCTGGGCAATAACTCTTGTAGGCATCTACAAACATAAAATGGAGAGGGAAGGAATTTGAAAGAAAGTATGGGTATTAGTGGCAAGGAAATAAACTATTCAGCTATTTTATAGAAAAACTTAGGTAACCTATTGATTACTCAAATGTTTAGTGCCCCATTATTTAAAATGAGTTTCATAGGGGAGTAACAGTAAAAATACGTTGGAACAACTAGAGATTGTGGGGTGGTTTGCAGGCGGATTTTTGTTTGGTTTTTAATATTCAGAAAGAATCATTTCCTGTATTTCAGGTAGTCTTTGTGGGTTAAAGTCACTGCAATACAGAGGATCCACATAAAGCATCTCCATCCCAGTTTGTCTCAAGGACATTTGGTAAATAAATATTTCTCACAAAGGAAAAAAGAAAACAACTTAAGGACTTGTAGGATCCTGAGGACTTTTTATGGTGTCCTTCATGCTGGGGTAAATAGGGCAAGTAACCATGAGAAAGCATTTACTGTATTCAGTAATATGAGAATATTAAAGTAGCTTTATTGACACAATCCTTAAGGTCTCTGAATTCTAAAACTGTGAAGAAATGTTAAAGTAGATTATTTCTGAGTGCTGCATGAAGATGTTACATGTTCAGCGGATTTGGGTGGTTGCCACTGTGGGAGTTTATGAATGGTATTTGCAATAAGTTATGGCTTTTATCCGAGATAACAGGTAAACATCTAAATTGGATATTATGGGGGGCAAAGGGGGAATGAGAAGGCTGTGTTGAATTGAAATGGTGAGAACAAAAGAGCAAAGTAAAGGTAATAGTAATCACTGTTGCTGCTGAGTTTGGCTCAAAGCCATGATGGTCCAATTCCCAACAGTGTCACTAGGCTGTTTGCCTTTTGGGGAGATCGTCCCTCAGCTCCATTTCCCCTTCGGAGGCATTTCCAGTGGCTGGTGCCTTGCATGCTTTAGAGAGCGAGCCATGACCAGAGAAGCCAGGGCTGTCTCTCCTCTCCACCCTCTTATCAAGTGACTCATGGCAGGGGGGTTGGCATCTCTGGGGGTAGGACACTGTTTCCCATACAGCCCAGCTGGCTGGGTTTGCACCAGAAGCCACGGCTCTGACAGCAGAACTCAGTCACTTCCCTTCCCTGCGAGTCATGGATGGAGACCACCAGACATAGCACAAACATTGTCATTAATAGAGATTATGGCACGGGGCCTTCAGGCCTAGCTTCCTCCCTGTGCTACCACCTCTATAACAGGCACCTCCACGTACACTCCCCTCTGAGATCACAGGAGAAATGCAGACCCATCTAGCCCACATGGTTTCCATGCAATTGAGAGAGGAAGAGCTTCTGTGGAGCCCATCCTGGACTGAAAATAAATGTGGCTGTTTTCCCTGGTGCTTTAGGAATCAGTTGCTCTTGGGGAGTGTCTTTGTGGGTGCACCACTTTAGCTGTCTTGGCGCCCTGTGCTTCTAATGAGAGATTTGTAGTAGCAGTGCCCCCCAGCTATCTCGTGTAGCTCTAAGCGGTTACCCCACATGCGCAGGCAACAGTTCCTTCTCTACCGCCTTTGGCTTCAGTCGGAACGACAGCAGCGCCCTCACAGCTTTAGATATTTCTATTATTTCAGTTACTTCCCGGCTAATACCCTCTCTTCCTTTAACTATTTAAAAAAATTCTTTCCTTTTCCCTGCCTCAGGCGGGTAACTCCCAATGACAGAAGAGGCATAATGGGATTATTCCCATTCCAGCCTCTCAGAGGTGCCTGGCTCTCCAGGCTTCAAACACTGTCTCACTTGCAGACTGTCTATATTGGTCTCTTGAGGGCCATCTGCAGTGTGTCCATTGCCTGCGGAAAACACATATCTCAAAAGTGTCCCCGCTGCAAAAAACTGACAGCTAAGACAGGGAAGGCTAGAGATCTTCAGTTGAAACTCCTGATGATGGAGAAATCCCTCAGACCAGCCTCCAACCCAGAGTCCAGGACACCTCCAGGTCAACAGCCACCTCAGACATGGGATCCTCCTTAAAAACAGCTACTAAGGACTCTGTTCCTAAAAAAGCCACAACAGGGAGGCTTCAACTCTGAAGCCCCTCCCCTCCACTGAGGGGCACTGCTCTACAGTCACCTAAAGTGGAGCACCCCCAGGAATATTTCTTGAAGAAAAGGTTACTCACCTTGTGCAGTAACAGAGGTTCTTCGAGGTGGTTGTCCCTGTGGGTGCTCCACTACGCTCACTCTCCTCTACTTCAGAATTTCATGTCGATCCTCTGAGGTAGAGAAGGAACTGGGGAACGGTTGGCTGCGCATGTGGGTAACCACTCGGAGCAGTGCGAGATGGCTACCACGCATGCGTGGCCGACTAGGGGCACTGCACCTACAAATCTCCGATTATAAGCTCAGGGCACCAAGACACCGAAAGTGGAGCACCCACAGGGACAACCATCTCAAAGAACCTCAGTTACTGCACAAGATGAGTAACCTCCTCATCTACCTGTGGAAGATTCTTACCTGAAAGAGCAGCCTGCTGACTATACAGGTCCTTCACAGACAGCCAAGTCCAGGCAGGCATTGTCTCAGCCTATTTTCAGCATGAAAAGTAAAGGCAACAGAAATAAAGAAGTATGAAACATCTGAGATGCTAAATACCCCCTTATGCATTTATAAGCACTGCTAACATGAGTAGGCAGGATTGCAAGTGTGCTTCCTGTCCATCTAAAAAATTCTGTGGGCTAAGAACTTCTCCCTAGAAAAGGAGGTGGGGGGGGGGCAGATTTGTTTCAAGTAGGCATAGGAGGCTTTGGTTCTTCAGATGAGATGCTCAGACAAATCAGTTCCCAGCTATCCACCTGGGAAAGCTGGATGAGGGCTCTGCTATATATGTCTTCCCACTTCTTCAACTGCTTCTCACAACAGTATTTTGGATGTGTCTATCTCACAGAGGTGGTCTGCTATTGCAGGACCAATCCTCTGAGACCAGGCAGCTTTAAAATGAATACTTGGATGAAGTGATCAGTGTTACCATGGACCTCAGAAGACAAGTCAACAAATAGAACTTATTTTGCTGTCTGGTGCAAATTCCATAGTTTAAGTACCTTATTAAACCAGTGGAACACAGCCTTGTGTTCCCCCAGGAGGGCTTTATTTTAGATATATGAGTGTCCAAGTAAAAAAAGGTCAAGTATCTGCGGTATAATGTGCTCTGCAGGTTAAAGAAAAGATGCTTTGTACAAATCCCAACATTAAATGCTTTTTTATAACATTAATCTTGTCCCAACCCTGCAAGGTCATAGAGTACAACCTCTGAACCTGTACTGGAGGTGTCGTCATACTTCCTGTCCATTAGAGTAGGCCTCCTGATGGCTATTCTCTCCAGTCAAATGAAGTGGAAGTTTTTTTAAGTTGGTAGCTTTCTCTAACAAGAATCAGTATTGTAATTATCATTCAGACAGGTAGTCCTTACTACTGTAATAGTATTTATTCCCCAAATACATTTGTAACGGGGTCCCAGTGGGGGCCAGCTGTGGTCACTCAATTAGGGTGAACTGCAAAGAATGGGGCAGACAACCCCCAAAAAGCTGGTGGATATTCCAATACGTAGATTTACCAAGCCAGCACAAAACAGCTTCTTTGTTACCTTACTCGTTACACAGAAGTCCAGACGACACAATTCCCTTAAAGCCTCCATCCAGGTACCTAAGCCAAATATGATGATTTCTGAACATCCTTTTTCATCATATAAAATAAAAGGTTTTACCAATTCCAAAGGATCGGACACATTACCTCCCAGGTTAATGAATATTTCAGATCTTACCCAAATACATGCCACAGCCAATTCTTATTAACTAAACTAAAATTTATTAAAACACAAAAGAGAGAGTATGGTTTAAAGATTAATATACATACAGATGAGTTCAATTCACTGAGGTTCAGATTCATAGCAGAGATGGTGAGCTTTATAGTTGCAAAGAGTTCTTTCAGAAATAGTTCAAAGGTTAATGTTCAGTGTTCAAATCTCATATTTAGGGTGTACCAGCATAACTGGAACCTCAGTCTTGCGCCTCAAACTTCCACCGATGAAGCTTAAGATCTGAGATGACGGAATCGGGACTCAAGGTTCTTTTATACAATTTTATGTCCTCTTTGACAAGTTGGAAATTCCTCTGGGAACAAAAGGTAATTAGGATGACTTTGAAGGAGGTCCATCACTGGTACTTAGCTATAGAAATTAACATAAGGCAATTTGCTTGTTTCTCCACCATTCACATATGACTTGCTATACATTTCAAAGAGAGATGAATACAGAGAAATCCCATGTTTACAATTCATTTAAATACCAGGATGTTCTTTTGATCTCTGAATTAACAGAATACAACATAACAGCCATACTGGGTCAGACCAAAAGTCCATCAAGCCCAGTATCTTGTCCTCTGACAGCGGCCAATGGCAGGTGCCCTAAAGGAAATGAACAGAGAGGTTATCATCAAGTGATCTATGCCCTGTCACCCAATCCCAGCTTCTGGCAAACAGAGGCTAGGGACACCATTCCTGCCCATCCTGGCTAATAGCCATTGATGGACCGATCTTCCCTGAATCTATCTAGCTCCCTTTTGAACCCCATTATAGTATTGGCCTTCGCAACATCCTCTGGCAAGGAGTTTCCAGAGATCAAAGTGCATTGGATGAAAAAATACTTTCTTGTTTGTTTTAAACCTGCTACCTATTAATTTCATTTGGTGGCCCCTTGTTCTTGTGTTATGAGAAGGAGTAAATAACACTTCCTTATTTACTTTCTCTATGTTACTCATGATTTTATAGACCTCCATCGTATCCCCCCTTGGTCGCCTATTTTCCAAGCTGAAAAGTCCCAGTCTTATTAATCTCTCCTCGTACTGAAGCCGTTCTATACCCCTAATCATTTTTGTTTCCCTTTTCTGAACCTTTTCCAATTCCAATATCTTTTTTGAGATGGGGCCACCACATCTGCACGCAGTATTCAAGGCGTTGGCCTACTGTGGATTTATGCAGAGACAGTATATTTTCTGTCTTATTAGTGATCCCTTTCTTGATGATTCCCAGCATGGTTCGCTTTTTTGACTGCTGCTGCACATTGAGTGGATGTTTTCAGAGAACTATCCACCATGACTCCAAGATCTCTTTCTTGAGTGGTAACAGCTAATTTAGACCCCATCATTGTATATGTATAGTTAGGATTATGTTTTCCAATGTGCATTACTTTGCATTTATCAACATTAAATTTCATCTGTCCTTTTGTTGCCCTGTCACCCAGTTCTGAGAGATCCTTTTGTAGCTCTTTGTACAATAGGTCGACTTACCCCCATAGTGAAGATAAACCCTCAGTCTCAGGGTAGAGTAATCAAATCTCCATCAATTCATAACTTCACCTAACTGCATATTAGTCATCCAATCCTAGCCAATGTAATTTCCTTTCTTTTGACAGAAGCTTTCTCCATGTCCAGGGGAAGCTGTACAAGATATGCAAATATAACCTATCTTGTTCTGGGTGTCCTATTTAAAGGATGATGCTGCTTCCCAGCTTGGATGTACGCTGCTATGAATATCCCATTATAACAGATCCGTTGGCCTTAGCGCAAGGATGAGTATCTAACAGGGTAGTGGCTTGGAGCAGGGGAAGTTCACATTTTAAAATGGTCTGTTTAATATATCAGACAATATGTGAATGAACATGTTTCTCTTCTAAGTAGGGGTCGAAAAAATAAGCAAGCGCTGGTACTCAAATTAGCACTTTATTTGTCATTCAGGTATTGTTTTGACAGCCTTCTAAAGGACAACAGGCAAATGACTTCATAGGAATACTATACCTATTTAATTATTAAGAACCTGGGAGGGTAATGCAAGAACCTATACATACAGCATTTCATATCACAATATTTATCTGCAAATTTGAGCCTGGTCCTGCAGCTCTTATTTGCATGAGTAGTAGCATTGTCACCAAAAAGGCTATTGGATCAGACCTGCAATGTAATACCCGTTTTTATCTTGGCTAACTTCACAATCGGTTACCTTGTTTACAGTGTTCATATTGTTTTAGAACAAGATTGTACTGTAGGAGCATATTATTATTTGGTTCTTGAATTATTTGCCTGTAAAAATTTGAGGTCTGTTTTATTTGCATACAAAAAATATGCCTACCAGGAAGTTCAAACTGGAGTATTTGTGTTTTAATGCTAAGTTAACAGTTCTTGGTTCACCAAATTGAGGCAAAATGTACGGATACCCTTTTCTTCTGCAAGAAGATGTTTGATCTTTCAGTTTGAAAGAAACTTATTAAAGGAAACCATTTGGGTTCTCATTTTTAACTGTATGTAAATTGTTTGCCCAAACTTTTTCCCTCCTAAATGAACATTTTATTCTGGCAATAGTATATTTTGTGTGAAATTTACATAGTAATAATCTTGAAAAGCTGTTGTCTATATAATCCAGTAAGCATTATACGCAATATAGAAATCTATACTATAGTACAGCATAGAAGTGAGGTACATAGTGTAGAAACACCATTTTAAACTTTTTTCTAAAACATACATTGCTGAATTCTGAAATCTTTACCCACACGGAACATTGCTTGGGCTGAAATAGTGCCATGGACTTCATTGGAACAACCTAACATGAATAAGGGTTATAGAATTAGGCCCATATTCTGTAGAACATCTTATGAAACACTGGCTTTCTGAATACACAGACGACGTGTTCTCTTTAATTAGAAAAAATATTGCTCGTGTTCCTCACTCACAGAAGTAGTCTGTAGAAGTAGTCTGTCTACTGGAAAATGTCCCTGTCGTTGCTACTCCTGCATCTTGATCTTGTACATTTTCTGTAATGCAGCTGTTTACAAGTGTCTAGCACCATACACATATTCTCTACTTGTTCCTGGAATTATGTGCTGTATGTTAATTTCCCTTTAATGCTATAGATGTATTGAATAGGAAATCATTTCTATATACTAATATGCAGTCATTTTCATGAATTTCCTTATCCTCTATGCATTCAAGTCTTGCCTTGTGTTCAATATTTTTCTGTAGGGGATGTATGCCACCATTCCATCCATTTCTCAGTCTTAAATATAAAGCCATCTTTGTGCAAGAGAGCAGTTTTATCTTACTTTGTGTATGAAATGTAAGGGAAAACATCACAAATACAGTGCTCACCATTAAAACATCAACATTTGTCAATTAGTTACTACACCATGGTGTCTGCAGTAGTGTTTTGTTATACTTAGAATAGGAAATAACTGTGGTATATCCTATACCTTAGTCGTAAATGCAGATAACTGTACATTCAAATTCAATTTGTATGCCCTTAAATAGATTTTTAGTGACTTAATTATGAAATATAGGACAGGACTGAAAGGTCAATTTAATAGGTTGCACATTAAAGTTCATATTCTCAGTTGGTTCCTGATCCAACACGCTTCATAACTCCAAAAATCCCATCTAAGTTAATTTAGGGTGGGGGAAGTCTTGTACCTGAAACCAACTCAGGGTTGGGATTGCTGCCATTATGCTTTTACATTTATTTTGGTGCATTCAATACATGTATTCACTTCAGTTCTTCAACATCCATCCTTGTCTGAGTAGGAAATAACTTTATAATGTTGCAAACTCTGTTGGTAGAGGGCACAATACAAAGGGGATAGCAAAAGGATGCTTGGTATCACAGGCATAACTATAAAAAAGTCCCTAGAACAAATTTTAAGTATCTTTCCGACGGCATGGTAAATTCCTATATTCAAAACGTTGACTATTTAATGGTGAGGTAACTGGCAGCAATGGAAAAATTGATGTATCTTAAGTTTTACCATAATGGGTTGTACATTTATTTCAATAAAGTGATTATGACATGATCATCCCTGCCTTGCCATAACATTTCTCCCTCAAAGTCCACCAACCCATGTTTCCTAGCTCTCATGAGAATCCCAACAACCTTGTCTGAAATACGGACATATCTGTCAAAGAGTTCCCCAAAAGTTACTTGGATCTTGCCATCGCGCCTCAGCGGAGCCATTGTTGCAATGATAAAGCACATATCTCTTATCTCCCGGTGAATGTGAGTCTCCGCTCTCTTGGCCCTTTCAGCAGTTTTAGTTCCCTCTTTAGGACGACCATAGCCATTATCTCCTTTGTGCAGGCGTGTCGACTGGGCCAGCTGGTAGTCAAATTCCTCACTGAAAGGATTCAGCTTTTGCGTTATCACATGCTGGTCTGCCCATTCTTGCCATCTGCCCTTCAGAGCATTAACAGGACTGTATTTCCTGTGGGTCTTGCTGCTTAGTTCTTCTGTAAACCTGCTTGCACTAAAAGAAACAAAAATGGGGCTTGATTTTTTTTTTCATTTCACCACTTTTAGGGGCTCATTTGTGCTATTTACCGTTTTCTTTTGTAAGACCCAACTTTCTCCAGTCCGGAGTACTAACCACTAGATGGCATATTTTTACTAATTCTAAAGTTAGTTCTTCAGTATAGGTGCATTACATTTATCTATCAATTTTGTATTTAAAAGCAACACATTCATTGCCAGGCTGATCTTGCATAAGACTCCAACTTATATGTTGGATCTCAATTTTGTTAGCCACATTTTCTGCCCAGCATTAACCCACTCTGTGGGTGCAAAAGAGTGCATACAATTACCTCTCCAATTTACTTGCTCACTTAGTTATCCTTCTCCCTGTTTCTGTCAGTTCATCAAGGGCCTAGAAATTGAAGTGAACTAAATTTGAAGTGCCAATAATTGCAAGTACAAAAGTGGCACCCACTGCTATTCATGATGGAAAAAATGGGGCCAGTGTCTGAAAATCTGCCCCTTTCAGTCAGTTTTGATTTAACTAATACAACAGTGTGCATAAGTATAAGACAAGTATGATGAGGAGCATGTCAATGTAAGAATCTACTATCCCATACAATAGGAAAATACTTACTTTTCATTGGAGTAAGCCCCAAATAAAACATGTGACCCAACATTTTTAGCTCATTTAGTTAGATTTTCAAAGGCCCAAAGGGCAGGAAGGTGTTGCCCTGACTACACACTAATCCCATTCAACCTTGAATTTGCTAAAAACATCCATGGCTACAATGTCATTCCTAGGTATTGGGCCAAGTCCTAAGATACAGTCATATTGCAGAGTGCAAATCAAGGAAAATGGTTTAAAGCCCCTGATGCTGTTACTACTCTGAGGGCAGCTCTAACCTACCTGGCCGCAATGGCCCAATGGGGCCAAAATGCAACCAAGTATCCCATCCACAGGCGCTTCTCCCCAATGACACCTCTGCCCCTGCTCTGCTGGTAGAGGAGAGAAAGGGTGATGGCCCCTATCTCACTTCTATGGCACTGGAGGACACCTGGGGTGTGATCTCCCTAGGCCAATTAGGTTGATTTTTTAAAGTCAGTTGCACCAGTGATGTGGTGTAAAACACAGGACAGTCAGGGCCATAATGATGTAAAGCACTATTTTGTTTCCCTCTAATTTGCAATCATGGAATATTGTGTGTGTGTGTGTAAGATGAAGGTCTGGCAGAAGAGTGTTACAACATTACATTGCAGTACTATCAGCAGACCAGCTGTGCAGCTTGTTGCCAGGTCAGCAGAGAGAACTTGGTGAGCTTTTGACTGAGTTATTGTTCTGTTGTCCTGTTTGGAAGCAAGTCCCCCACACAAAACATCCTGCCCAGCCGTGGCCCCCACTGGGCTCCTTGACTGACCACTTCCCCAACTCTCAATAAAGAGGCTATGTTGCTGCATAGACTTCCACGTCTGTGCGGGAGCCCGGGCTCTGGGACCCTCACAGAGTCCCAGTAGCCCAGGCTCCAGCTTGAGCCCAGAGGTTTATACAGCAATGAAACAGCCCCACAGCCCGAGCCCCACAAGCCAGTGGGTTTTCTTTGCTGAGTAGACATACACTGAGAGTGGTTTTCCCTTACTCATATGCTTAGCTTGTGTCCTCCCTACTCCCTACGGAACTCTGCAAAACTCCTGTGGCAGCAATTTCCTGGGATCAGGAGAAGTGAAGGAGGCAGCATTGTTGAACTCTGCATTCTCTGATTGTTCTTTTATTTACTTTGTCTCCTACGTTTTCTGTTCCCACCTAGCTCTTTAATCCTCCTTTCTAACCAAATACTGTTACCGCCTTTCCATTCTAATCTTTTCCCAAGATGCCTAGATTAGCACCACTTTATTTCACATTTATTTTTTACTCTCAAACCCTACTTGGCTAGGGATAATCTAATTCTCACTTTGCCTCTTCTACATGCCTCATACAGTTTAACCTTTCCTGCTTTTCACATTTCTATTTGCCCCACGGTCTACTTTCTTGAGGCGTTAACCAGTAAATACACTGACTTCCAGTTTATTTTTTCAGATTAGCCTCTCTCTCATATGTTGTCAACTGCTTGAGGCAGAGAACATGTCATCTTCTGTGTTTGTACAGCGCCTAACACAATGGTTCCCTGATCCAAACTGGGGCCTCGGGACACTACCACGTTTTCAGTAATAATAATAATAATAAGGCATATTTGCAAGAATGCATTCTGTATGTCTAAGGGGATGTTGTCCTTTGCCTGATCTGTGCTGTCATTTCCCTCTGTTTCTTTGGTTGCCTAATGCATGAGAACGTCAACACTGTTTTCTTCAGTGTGGCAGTTTTCATTTTACTCATGCACCACCAGTTTTGTTTCTAGGTACAGACTAAATATTATCATCCCAGCACGTAGAATTTGCATGTAGTCTGCTGGGAGATCAGTCTGACTCCAGCTAGAGTTACAGCTGGCATGGATGTGGGTGCTGATGTGAGAAATAATTACTGGCACTGTGTGTTCTCACTGAAACCTAGAGGGGAAACAGAAGACTGCCTTATTTAAAACCAAACAAATAAAAAACCAAAAAATAAGTGTGTGGTTGTTAAAGCAAAACTGAATGATTAACTAAAATAGCAGGTTTATGGTACGTTCCAAGAATATAAATTTAAAGTGAAATATATGACTGGATTTTAAAAAAATATAATCCTAAAAGCAGCATTATAAATGCAAAAAAATTATTCTTTCCAAGCAGATTTCAGTAAGGCAGACAGCTGTAAGAACTATAAAAGGTGTTATTTTACCCATTTACACCTCAGTATGTATGGTTAATCTTCTGTTCTCCCAGGTAACTGCATTAATATTTGACATATAAGGTATTAGAGGTATTCAGGCCATCCCAGTAGAAAGATAGTTACTTCCTTGCTACAGATACATTTTATTTTTAGTGAGCAGTTCATTTTAATTTGGGTTGGTTCCAGGTAGAGCTGGTCACATTATTAGTTGCAGATAACACCCTTTGCAAATGTATTCTCTTTCCACCCTGTTTGTGAATTGCCAACATACTGATCCTGATTTCTGAGGCTGTACAATGAACTTTATTTGTATTACTGGTCAGTTCTCAGCCTCTATTTGAGAACTGTTTCATATTGGCTATTAGCCATTCATTATTTGTGGGACGTGATTAGTCATCTGTATAACATGGTATTGGTCCGCTCCCTGATTGGATGACTGAAACAGAAGAAAGATGAACAGTGAATAAGGCCCTTCTGATTTGAATTTTTAGAGCTCTCTTTGTGCTAAAATTTGTGAAACATGAACGCTTCTGTGAAAAGCTGCTGATATTTATAGATAACTAATGATGTGACCCCAGGGATAGCAGTGGAGCAGAGTCCATCTGTCTGTTTGCAGATAGATCAATGTATCTGTTTTGGCATTATTACACCAGCTCTACTTCCAGGGCTCTCATTTCTGACATGGTGATTCGGATACACTATGATATATATATAATATACACGCATTATTAAGGATCTACAACCTATCCTAAAGGATGACCCAACACTCTCACAAATCTTGGGAGACAGGCCAGTCCTTGCCTACAGACAGCCCCGCAACCTGAAGCAAATACTCACCAACAACCACATACCACACAACAGAACCACTAACCCAGGAACTTATCCTTGCAACAAAGCCCGTTGCCAATTGTGCCCACATATCTATTCAGGGGACACCATCACAGGGCCTAATAACATCAGCCACACTATCAGAGGCTTTTTCACCTGCACATCCACCAATGTGATATATGCCATCATGTGCCAGCAATGCCCCTCTGCCATGTACATTGGTCAAACTGGACAGTCTCTACGTAAAAGAATAAATGGACACAAATCAGATGTCAAGAATTATAACATTCATAAACCAGTCGGAGAACACTTCAATCTCTCTGGTCACGCAATCACAGACATGAAGGTCGCTATCTTAAAACAAAAAACCTTCAAATCCAGACTCCAGCGAGAAACTGCTGAATTGGAATTCATTTGCAAATTGGATACTATTAATTTAGGCTTAAATAGAGACTGGGAGTGGCTAAGTCATTATGCAAGGTAGCCTATTTCCCCTTGTTTTTTCCTACCCCTCCCCCCCCAGATGTTCTGGTTTAACTTGGATTTAAACTTGGAGAGTGGTCACTTTGGATGAGCTATTACCAGCAGGATAGTGAGTTTGTGTGTGTGGTTTTTGGGAGGGGGTGAGGGGGTGAGAGAACCTGGATTTGTGCAGGAAATGGCCCAACTTGATTATCATGCACATTGTGTAAAGAGTTGTCACTTTGGATGGGCTATCACCAGCAGGAGAGTGAATTTGTGTGGGGGGGTGGAGGGTGAGAAAACCTGGATTTGTGCTGGAAATGGCCCAACCTGATGATCACTTTAGATAAGCTATTACCAGCAGGACAGTGGGGTAGGAGGAGGTATTGTTTCATATTCTCTGAGTGTATATAAAGTCTGCTGCAGTTTCCACGGTATGCATCCGATGAAGTGAGCTGTAGCTCACGAAAGCTCATGCTCAAATAAATTGGTTAGTCTCTAAGGTGCCACAAGTACTCCTTTTCTTTTTACTATGAACACGCTGGCCCTGATTCTCCACAGCCCTGGTGCCTTGTGAAGCTTTTTTATGTCCAGGCTAAGTGTGTTTAAAGTGGGTATAAAATCCTTCTATTCTGATTTGATAGGTTTTGCACTCAGTCTGCTCTTACTTGGCATAGGTGTAGATGACTACACACAATGCGAGGCAGTGGAGACATGGCTCCTAAGAGGAAAAGGCAACCCAGGGCCAGCTGGCTCCCTTACTCAGTGAATCCTGCAACAGGAGGAAAACTACAAGGATCCACTCATGGATTTTCTCCCTCATTGTATGGTCACAATAGAACCTTCTGGCCTTAGAAGCTATGAATCTATGAACATTCTTCCAATAGAGGGGGCAGGGGTTATCTTATTAAATAAACATTGCA